CAGACGGCTCACGAATCGATTCTTCAAAATTCTAAAGGTCGTCTCATCCGGCGTCGGAACGATCATGAACCAACTGGGGCAAGGGCAGATTCATCAATCTATTCGGCTCAACTGCCCCAGCCGGCTCATGAATCGATTATTCAAAATTCTTAAGATTCATCAATCTATTCGGCTCAAGTACCCCAGCCGGCTCACGCATCGATTCTTTAAAATTCTTAAGGTCGTCTCATCCAGCTCTTGAATGATCATGCACCGCCTGGGGCAAGGGCAGATTCATCAATATAGTCGGCTCAACTACCCTAGCCGGCTCATGAATCGATTATTCAAAATTCTTAAGATTCATCAATCTATTCGGCTCAAGTACCCCAGACGGCTCACGAATCGATTCTTCAAAATTCTTAAGGTCGTCTCATCCGGCGTCGGAACGATCATGAACCAACTAGGGCAAGGACAGATTCATCAATCTATTCGGCTCAACTACCCCAGCCGGCTCATGAATCGATTATTCAAAATTCTTAAGATTCATCAATCTATTCGGCTCAAGCGCCCCAGACGGCTCACGAATCGATTCTTCAAAATTCTTAAGGTCGTCTCATCAGGCGTCGGAACGATCATGAACCAACTGGGGCAAGGGCAGATCCATCAATCTATTCGGCTCAACTGCCCCAGTCGGCTCATGAATCGATTATTCAAAATTCTTAAGATTCATCAATCTATTCGGCTCAAGCGCCCCAGACGGCTCATGAATCGATTCTTCAAAATTCTTAAGGTCGTCTCATCCGGCATCCGAACGATCATGAACCACCTGGGGCCAGGGCAATTTCACCAACCTATTCGGCTTGAATGCCCACAATACTCGGCATATGAGTGATAAATCAATATTGTCATAAGATATTCAATCTCTAAAAGCTCAAACACAGCAATGATTTTATCCAAAGTAGTTAAAGGCAAAACATTCTTCATTAACATAACTTCACAAACTGTGTACAAGTGGTGGTGAAATAACAAGGAAATTTTCATTAATAAATTGAGCGCAAATAGTAACCAATTTATACATGAAAACTACCATGAACCAACAAAAGTCTACCGAACAAAAACTTACATCGGAATTAAAAATACCTAATAAAATTGAAATGTCTCCAAAATCAATCCTCGGGGTCAGATTCAAGTGGCTCAACGTCCACTTGCTCGTAGGGAATTGGCAAGGCCAATGTAACTCCAGCGGCAACAAGGGCTTTGAGCCACCCATGTTTGAACCCCCGATTCTCGAATTTGGGGACTTCATCTACATATTCCGTGTAGGCGGCGCTTTTTCTTGCCTCAAATGCCACACAAGCCTCATAATCGGCTTTTTCCTTGGCCGCCTTGAGCTCCTCTAACTGAACCTCCACCTCGGCAAGTGCCTCCTTGGCTAACTTGAGCGATTCTTCGCTCGCATTTGCCCTACTCTCAGTGTCAGAGCGGAGCTGTTCAGCTGAGTGAGCCCTCTCCCCCTCTGCTTCAGCTCGTGCACTCTCCATTGCGGCTCTCATCACTTCAAACTCGGCCTTAATCTTTTGACCGTCCGCCTCCGTTTGCAAACAATCAATCCTACCAAGGGCATCATGCAAGCAGCGGCCTAGGTCCGCAATCCTGCCAACCGTCTGCAAAACAAGTTGGGATCGTCAGATACCTTAATGAAAACAAATTCAAGAGAATTTGAGATGGTCACTTACCAGGAGCGCCGACTGCGCAGATAGGGCTACGGCCATAACATCCGACATAGCGCGAAAGGCTGCGTTGTCAGCCGGTAAGGAAATTGAAGCCGCCAGGCTTAACACCATGGCTGGATCCTCAATGGCTGAAACGTCAGAAGAGATCGGCGTATCTTTGATCTTTGGCCGAACAATAAAAAGAGCAACCACGTCCGACTCTTCTAAACGAGGCCGTTTGGAAGCAGGGCTAATCTCCGACCCAACCTCTCTCTCGGCACTACGCTTTTTGCCCCGCTCCTCCGAAATCAGCCGTTCGTCAATGACCTGTTGTTCAACCTCTTTCCCCGCTTCGGCCGCAGCAACCTGAGCCGTCTCTTTAATAGCGGGTACGAAAGTTTTAATCAAGGTGGGCTTAGAATGGGTAGCCTCGGCCTTCTTTCGAGCAGCCATTCACTTGACATTTTTCTTTCGCGCCATCTGCGTAAGGCTTTCCCCAGCCATACCTTCAAAACAATCGCCGGGTAGGTCTCCCAAATTCGTAAAAATATCTCCAGAAGAAAACTCTGCCCGACCCGAAGTGGACAGTAAAGGCTGGTTAAGTCCGGCAGCCTCGAACGCTGAGCGTATCGCCTCGTCGACCTCTTGGGCCTCCTCAGCGACCTCTCTGGTTGGTTCAACAACTACCTCTACTGCTGGCTCCGCATCTTCTCCCGAATCCGAATCTTCGAGGCCAATTTGCCTAAGGCTCTTGAAGCTGGGAAAAAGAAGAGCCGAAAGGTGTTGATCGCCGGATGGAATTGGAATGCCGTCCGCGACCGAGTATGTAGTATAAGTAGGTTCGTATCGGAGGAGTATGTGAGCAGCTTTCCCTTGCTTTTGTACTTGGACGGCCAAAGTATCTGAGTGCAGACTTAATTTCCTCAAGGACTGCATCGTCGGTTGAGGGAAGAATCTTCTTCCATCTGTTACCTGCAAAGAACAAGGGGTGATTAAAGGAAAAAAGCCGAATAAAAGGCAGATCAACAAACACGAGGCGTTACATGGTAACCTGGATCACCCTTCCGTCTGGGAATAGGGTCTAGGCGGTCTTCGCCTTCACCGAACTCCCAATTACCTCGGACATTGACCATTACGTCATCAACTCTCTTACCAGAACTGGCAAGCATGGTTATCAAGTGATGATCAGTGTCCTTGGCCCTGAGAAAGTATCGCCCTAGACCGAAAGATTTGGCCAAAGCGTAGCAGTGCCGAATCGCCAGAATGCCAAGGTTGATCCTAAGGCGTCGGTTCAACTCTATCACCCCCATGATGATTCGAAAGAAATTTACGTTGGGTTGAGAAGGAATCAGACTCGAATAGTGAAGAACGGCCCTAAGCAATGGATGTAGGGGAAAACGGACTCCGCCCTCTGCTATGGATAAGAGAGAGAAGACGATCGTATTTTGATCCTCCATTCCATATCAAGAGTACTATCCGTTACAAGAGATAAGTGGACATCGTCGGGAATGGAAAAGTGTCGCCGGAATCCGGAAATACGACCCTCAGAAAGGAGGTCTTTCAAGTGTTTAGCCATTTTCGCGGGGATTCAAGGTTCCACCGAAATCAAAATGACAAACAGAAAATAGGATTGCAAAGAAGAGAGAAGAAGACTTACGAGGAGTAAACGGGGCAAGCATAGACGGAGAAGAATTGCAGAAAATGCGAGTCAGAGAAGGGATACCCGCTGGCGGTCCAAGAGTCTCGAATACTCGACGAAATTTGCACTCGAAAGGACTAAAATTTCAAATCGCAATAAATACGAGACGCACGAATGAGGCGGGAAAGTGTAATGATGACCGAAAGGGTGTGCGCATTCTGACATCTGTATTGTGGTACACGAAGCCGCCTGACCTATTTTAACTTTTCTAATTCAAGACCAAACACGCCGATTAAGTACCGTCAATGGGGAGTTTGGGGGGCAATTGTGGGAACCGAATAATGGCAAAATCACCGTACCTTAGAAGACTGATATTAATCGGCTGTATCCTACGAGAATGGGAAGCCGAATATAATACATGTGCCGAATAAGTGTAGATCCTTAGAGCCGAATAAGAGAAAGGACAATAATTAAAAAGTAGGCCTTGGCCCCGAGGATCAAAAGAAACAGGTATAAATACAGGAACAATGGATTGAGGAAGGTATGTAACAATCACTTTTTGCTTAACTTAGAAGACAAGCTATTTTGAGTACAAGAACTGTCTTGTCTGTCGGAGTGTTAATTCTGGCACCCTCGACCGGAGTGTTTGTGTCTTTTCAGGTGACTAGCTGAGGATCACTAGCGTCTCCCAGGATCTGAAGAGTATTTCAAAAACCACTTCTCTACAAAAATATTCTTTCTACAAAAATATATTTACAAAGAATATTTAAAAATTATTAATAAAAAAATAATAATAGATAAATGCTTATACTTAAGAAAAATTAAAAAACATAATAATGTCATTATAAATATATAAAGTGTTGAAGGGTATTTTCATCTAAAAAATGTTTAAAAGTTTGATTTATCTCACGGAGCAGTAACAGTAGGGTTAAAGTAAAATACGTTAATAGATTAGGTGATCCATTTATATGTTTTTATAATTTAAGTAGTGAAAGTAATACTTTTCAATAGTTAAAGAGTGAATTTGTATGCTTTTATAATTTAAGAGATTAAAATGATAATTCTTAATAGTTTAGGGGATGCATTTATACGCTTTTATAGTTTACGGAATCAAAGTGATATTTCTCAATAATTTAGGAGATTTCCTTGTAAATAATCCTAAAATTAAAGGAGAACTTATAATTTAGTGGTTATTTCTAAAAAATAATTTCAGATTCATAAAAAAGTTTAGGTAAAATTACAAGTGCACTTTCAAAAAATAATTACAAATTCATTGAAAAACTTATGATTTTAATTATTAATATCGACAAAATTTACCACTAATCTGTAATTTTTTTTAATACATTGATATCTAATTTCTTCAAAAATTTATGATTTTAATTATTAATATTTGTAACATTTACTACTGATTTGATTTTTTTTTTTTTTTTAACAGTGAATTGTAATTTCCTAAAAATAAAAACACATTCATAAAAGAGGTCATACTTTCACAAAAATGTATATACAAAGCAGGAAAATGAAGAACAAATAATAAAATCCGCTAACATAAAGAAAGTAAAACCGCAATGCATGGACCACAACATCTAGCAATGTGACTCAGAGTGAATATCCTCTGTCCAAAAAAACCAAAAATGAAACAAAGAAGAAAAAAGCTGAAGCCTGGAGAGTACCTTTTCTGAGAGCTGTTGGGTACAGCTGTATTTGCAGAAGCTGGTGAAAATGCCTTCTTTTCTGCAGCATTCTGCAAGTCTACCGGTTTAGAGTGACAGGGCTGTGATGATTCCTTTGCCATAACAGGCAAGCCATGTGGGTTTGATTGCAGCTGAAGAAATTGTTGTTGTTGTTGCCGTTGCTGTTGTTGGGTCTGTATTGCATGAAAAGTTGAAGATGACCATGATGGAGATGATAAGGCAGTGATCCCAATTGGGTTTTCTGAGAAAGAAAACTTGTGGTTTTGGTTTCCATTGTTGTTCATGATCCAAGAGTTCTCAACAGTTTTCATGTTTGAGAAATACCCAAGAGAGAGAATAGAGTCCTCTCTTTCTCTTTCTGTAGAGTTATTTTGATCAGTACCATTTTTTATGGTCCAGTCTCCTTCACCTGGTGGACCAAGCCTTAACTCAAGCTTTTTCTCCTCTGAATATCCATGGCTTCCTTGTTCATCCCTTTGTAAAAGCCATTCTCTGTCTTTAGGTATTAAATCCAGCAACTGTGGACATGCCACCTCATCCTTGTTTGAACATCCCTCCATTTCTTTACCAAGAAAGCACAGTAAAAAAGGAAACCCAAATGGAAAATCAACTTTTCTTTCAACTTTGACACCACCAACCACTCAGCAAGAAAATAAAAGAAATTCGCTGAAAAACAAAAATATAACATATTAGTCGAGCCCAAATAAATCCAAAAATACACAAATTTTCAACTTAAACCACACATTTGGACAAATTAAAAAACAGAAAGGAACCAAAAGACATAAGGCCACATACATGTACTTTATTAAAGCTCAATATATGAACACCCACACCCTAAAATCTTCAAAATCCACCTTACTTGGGTAAAAAATGAAATACCCAGATAGCAAACAGTTATAGAGACTACAGAAACACCATGAGGAAGAAGAAATATACCAAGTTGGGTCTCAAAAACACTGCCTTCCAGACAGTCTCAACCCATCAAATGAAGTACTCAAAGCCACCACCAAAAGATTGAAAATACGGACACCAAAAAATTAGAGCCTAAGAGAAACCCACCAAAGACAAAGAACAACACAAAAAGAGAGATAAATATCAGTTGTGGTGTGGGATTGCAATCTAGCTGTTTTTTTTCTTTCTTTGATTCCCTTTCTCTTCTGTTTTGCACTCTGAGTGAGTGAGTGACTGGGTTCCCCTCCTTTCTCTCTCCTCTCTGTCTATATGTATCCTCTAGACTAGTTTGTTTTAGGCTGTATGGAATAAGAACAAAGAAAAAAATGACAAGCAGAGAGATTCCATTAGGCTCAAAGAGTTCCCCCAAAACAAGAACAAAACTAGAGACTAGAGAGCATAACGCACGCAACCACAAGCCCAAAAAAATGTCGTTGTTTGGTTCAGGAAGCAAAGCGTCCTCAGTTAGAGTGACCTTGTTCCCTCTGTACAATAAAGATTCTCTCTCTCTCTCTCTCTACGTGGCCTATGTAACTATGAACTCTTCCTCTACCATGCCCCTTTTATTACAGTTTATTTGGATTGAATCATTTTGGAAAAGAAAAAAATAAAAAATAAAAAAATTATGCTAGAAACCTAAATAATTTATTAAATTTTTTTATCAAAGTTTTTATGAGTATGAGACCCACACACATAAGGGTTTACATGGGTCTCACACCTATGTGAGAGGTTTGATAAAAAAAATTGATAGATTATTTGAGGTTTATAGGATTTTTCAAAAACAAAAAAAAAAAGAAAAAAAAAGAGGACAATCAAAAAAATAAAAATAAAAACAAAAAAAAAAAAGAATTTGAGCCTTGTAATAAAATAAATTTTGAATTTAAATTTGGGAGCTTTTTTCATAAATCCATCTTTAATTACTTATGTTGCATCCAAGCTATATTCTTTTTGACTATTCCGTTAGGTCCTATTTGAGGTAAGAAGTCTAAAATACCATTTTCATCTATTTATATTCTATTTAGTTCATATTATTTTCTTATGTTTCAATAAGTCCTATGGATAACATAATTACCAAAATATCCCTAATGTGAATGTTCACACCGTCAATGTGAATGTTCATACCGTCAATGTGTAGGGGCCCGACTCATATACAATGTGAATATTCACATTGACATGTTAACATTCACATTGACAGGAGTGTAAAATTAGCCCGCGGCCTGTGGGCGGCCCGGGGCGAGTCCGGTCCAGCCCGTGACAATGTGAATATTCACATTGACACATTAACATTCACATTGATAGGACTGTAAAATTAGCTCGCAGCCTGTGGACGGCCCGAAGCCCGCCCGTTGCTGGGACGGGCCCGACCCGTTGATAATGTGAATATTCGCATTGACATATTAACATTCACATTGATAAGAGTGTAAAATTGACTCGCGTCCCATAGGCGGCCCGAAGCCCGTGGGCAGCCCGAGGCGAGCCCGACTCGGCCAGTGACAATGTGAATATTCACATTGGCATATTAACATTCACATTGATAGGAGTGTAAAATTAGCCCGCGGCCTGTGGGCGGCCCGGAGCGAGTCCGGTCCAGCCCGTGACAATGTGAATATTCACATTGACACATTAACATTCACATTGATAGGACTGTAAAATTGGCCCGCGGCCTGTGGACGGCCCGAAGCCCGCCAGTTGCCGGGACGGGCCCGGCCCGTTGATAATGTGAATATTCACATTGACATATTAACATTCACATTGATAAGAGTGTAAAATTGACTCGCGTCCCATAGGCGGCTCGAAGCCCGTGGGCAGCCCGGGGCGAGCCCGGCTCGGCCAGTGACAATGTGAATATTTACATTGGCATATTAACATTCACATTGATAGGAGTGTAAAATTGGCCAGCAGCCCGTGGGTGGCCCGAAGCCAGCCGCTGCTCGGAGCGGGCCTGGCCCGGCCCGTGACAATGTAAATATTCACATTGACATATTAACATTCACATTGATAGGAGTGTAAAATTGGCCCGCGGCCCGAAGACGACAGCCTTGGGTCGAGCCGGTGGGCCTAGGCCTAGGCCTAGGCTCGAACTTAGGGCTGACTTGGGCGGGCCTGACCATTTTTTTTTTTTAATCTTTTTAATTTTTTCTACCAAAATTTTATTATTTTCCACAAAAAAAGACATTGTGCCTCAGGCGGGCTGGGACTTGGACCGAGCCTTGAATGGGCCTTAAGTGGGCCGATGCGTCGGACCGGGCTTCAAAGTGATGGCCTAGGCCCTAGCCTAGGGTCTCGGACATGCTCGGGCTCGGACCGAAACGAGCCTGCCCCGGGCCGCGGGCGGGCTTCAAGCAGCCCACGGGCGGCGGACCAATTCTACATTCCTATCAATGTGCATGTTAACATGTCAATGTGAATATTCACATTGTCAACGGGTCGGGCCGGGCCTACACTGGGCCACAGGCGAGCTTCGGGCAGCGGGCAAATTTTACACTCTTATCAATGTTAATGTTAATATGTTAATGTGAATATTCATATTGTCACGGGTCGGGCCAAGCCCGCCTCGGGCTGCGATCGGGCTTCGGGCCACCCACGTGATGCGGTCCAATTTTACACTCTTGTCAATGTGAATGTTAACATGTCAATGTGAATATTCACATTGCCAATGGGTCGGACCGCGCCCGCCCCGGGCTGCGGGCGGGTTTTTGGCCGTCCATGGGCCGCGAGCCAATTTTATACTCTTACCAATGTGAATGTTAACATGTCAATGTGAATATTCACATTGTCAACAGGCCGGGCCGGGGCCGTCCACGGGCTATGGGCGGGTTTCGGGCAGCCACAAGGCACGGGCCAATTTTATACTCTTATCAATGTGAATGTTAACATGTCAATGTGAATATTCACATTGTCAACAGGCCGGGCCGGGCCCGCCCCGGGCCGCAGGCGGGCTTTTGGCCGCCCATGGGCCGCGGACCAATTTTATACTCTTATCAATGTGAATGTTAATATGTCAACGTGAATATTCATATTGTCAACGGCCCGGACCGGGCCCGCCCTGGGCCGCCCATGGGCCGCGGGAGGGGTTTCGCGCCGCCATGGGACGCGGGCCAATTTTACACTCCTGTTAATGTGAATGTTAATATGTTAATGTGAATATTCACATTGTCAACGGGCCAAGCCCGCCCCGTCTCGCAGACGGGTTTCGAGCAGCCCACGGGCCAAATTTACATTCCTACCAATGTGAATTTTAAAATATGAATGTTCACATCATAAAATTGCTAACCGTTCAAAAAATATTTATAAGGGTGTCAAAATAAAATATAAGGGCATAAGTGTCCAAGAAAATAGTGTAAATCAAGAAAAAGGATTTTATGGAATAAAACTATACATACATAGGACTAAATGGATTAAAAAATTCCTTCATGGACTTCTTGGGTTAAAACACTTCTAAATGGGATTTATCAATCATTTTTCCTTTAAATTTTATCAATTTAAATCTTAAATTTTTTAAATTGTTTTCAATCCAAGTCATTTGTCTATTTTTATTAAATAAAATCAATGAAAAAATAAGTATGTTAGTCATTACACTCAATGAAAAGCGTATTTTAGACATTTTATACATACAACATTAAGTTTAATATATCTAAAATACTTTTTTTTATCGGTTTTTACTTAATAAAAATAGACGAATAGTTTAAATTGAAAACAAATCAAAAGATTAGAATTTAAAATGACAAAATTAAAAATTCAGAATTTATTCTATTCTAAAAGTCAAACCTTGGGTTTTTTTCTTTGTAATTTTTTTCAAAAAAAAAATTATTTGTTTGGATTATTTTAAGAGGAGAGAAATGTGGAGAAATTGATTAGAGAGATTGGGAGATAAAAGAAAAGACTTAACCAGTAATTTTATATAATGCTAGAATTGATGATTACAAACTAAATAAATAAAAATATAAAAAGTTATTTTAGTAATATAACTAGTTATTTGATCACATATATTGATAAATACATTGTTTGAGTTTTTAATATTGAATCTAGATAAATTACGCATTACCCTTTTTATGATTAGTGATTTTTTCAATTTGGCCTTAAAATTTGTTTCCTCTTACTTTAGCCCTTCACGGTTCAAGTTTTTTGGCAATATATTCTAAAACCAATTTATTGTGAATGTTAGTTAATGATAATATTATTCAACTTTTTGTAATGGTAAAATTTGATCTAATATTTTAATTTTCAGCTAATTTTCTCAATTAGGCGTTACGTATCTTTTGCCCCCATGAGCCCCACCAAAAGCCTTTGCATTTGTGCATAAGTAGTTCAGTGCAAACTGTGAAAACCAATTTATTGTGAATGTTGCCTCTGTTTGGCAAGTTGGTTCTTGGGCTTTTTTGGCTATTTTAGCCACAAAAAACAAAATAGGCTATTTTAGCCATAACAAACAAAACATCACATCCAACCCATAATCATTACATTCTTCTCTCACAACAAAACTCAAACAAGCCAAAAAGTCAAAAAGTCCTTCCCAAACCAAGCTTTTAAGCCCAGGCTAAAATAGCTAAAAAAGCCAAAAAGCCAAAAAGCCAACTCACTTCCCAAACGGAGGCTTAATGATAATATTATTCAACTTTTTGTAATGGTAAAATTTGATCTAATATTTTAATTTTCAGCTAATTTTCTCAATTAGGCGTTACGTATCTTTTGCCCCTATGAGCCCCACCAAAAGCCTTTGCATTTGTGCATAAGTAGTTCAGTGCAAACTGTGAAACTAATGTTGTGTTTGGTTGGGGATCTGAAGAGTGATTTGGAAAGGAAAAGAGAAAATGTGTGTGAAATTACGTAAAATATAAACATATTTTATTCATATTTCACTTACTTTTGTCATTTTCTTTTCCAAATCTCTCCCCAAATCCCCCAACCAAACACATCATAAGTTGATTTGCCAACTTACTATGAAAAAAGAAAAAATACCCAAGTTCATTCATAATGATATGGTAAAAAAGTTGAACCTTATATGCTAAGTTTGTAATAAATTAAAAGTTGACACATAACTTGTTGTATCTCTATAGACAAATTCTGAGAAATTTTTAGAAGTTTCAATCTTTTTATTTTAGTTATTTTTGAAGTAAATAATGTGATACTCTAACTTGATAGTTATTGGTCTCAGTAGTCAAACCCATTAATTTTGTATTGTTGTATTAGGAAATAATACATTCTGTCAATTTGAAGTATTTCATGATATTTTTTTTTCATAATCCGTAATATTATTCTACTCTTAATATTCATAGGCCACTCACTGAAATTTAAAGATCCCAAAAAATAGGTACTAAGGCCTCGTTTGGGGACTTATTTTTTTAGTTAATTAGTCAAAAAGTTATTAAATTAGTCAAAAAGCCAACAACTCATATAAAAAAGTCAAAGATTCTCTTTTCTCTCTACTTTTTGCACATCTTTTCGTAATTAGTTTGAAGTAAATAATGTGATACTCTAACTTGATAGTTATTGGTCTCAGTAGTCAAACCCATTAATTTTGTATTGTTATATTAGGAAAT